TAGCTTTCCTGTGTAATGCTTTGTCTGTCCTCTTCCCCCATTAAAACTTAACCTATAAAAACTACGACTTTTCAGTTTTGTCGCTCTCAGAAATGTATTTTTCCCCAACTGATTATCCATTCAGAACATTTCTGCAAGCATCGTTTCCCAAAGCTTAGCCCTCATGCACAAAATCCCATCCCTAACTGTGCCAAACCCAATTGCTTTACATTTTAAATGTTTTTCAGAGAATGTGTGCGTACACACAGATTCCTCCATCAGGAATTGTGATTTCCACTCTCACTAAATGGCTATGTTTTACCAACTTTTTCCAATAGCTTCTTTCTTTTGAAAGAATACTCCCCCAAAACTAAGTTTGTGTTTGTATGTCTAAACAGAATTTTAAGACATTACAGTAGAGAGGTAGTTTCTCTGGTAAACTTTGGATGTCTTGTAGAAAACCAGATTTTGTCACAGCCATTCAACATTCCATCGCCCAATTTGCTATTTCTGTTCTGTCTTCAGTGACTGCCAAGCCAGCTTACATTTCAAAAGTCACTCAATTGCTGTATGACAATTTGACCTTAATTCAGACTTCATTGTGGAATTTTGCTAAATATTCATACAGAGGAATCTACTTGTAGAATTTTTTCCTATTCTGTAGCTTTAAATTTCACATCTATCAAACATGGTGTTTATTTTCAGCATTTTCAGCATTACTGTTCATTTCCAGCTTTGACCTTCCAGTTCACCAAATCTGCTTCATCTCAAAATATCTATTTTGACTTAACTGCGGGTTACAAAAAATAAATACTGGTAAATACAAAGACAGAACTCCCTGAAGGATTTTGTCTCTCTACCTGTTAGTGTACCTGGTGTGTCTTCACTGTGGTGGCTGTTCTTTTGAACTGCATGGTCCTAAAATGTGCTCTGTCAAACTTTGGATTATTCATGGTGTGTTTCATTCTGTTGTGGAATTTTCATAAGTAATTGTATTCACAATTGTTTTTTTCATCAGCTAGCAACAGAGCTATTCCTACTAGACTACTTCATAGTATTATATAATTTGGGAAGAAACAATGCCATTTCTTCCATGCATTAAATTTGATCATGGTGTACCTGTTACACTTGAATCAGAAATAAATACCACAGCTGCCTTCGAGCCAGTCTTTATATAGACTTGTTTCAGCATAATGTGAATAGAAACTGTTTCACACATTAATGACAAAGTCACATGAATGAGCATTAAGGACAAGGAGGTCAAAGCATGCTGTAGATCAAAGATGCTCTCTACCTCAGTAGAAGTTTAACTAGCTGTTTAAACTAAGGTGTTGGCTCTACTTACACATGTTTGCTAAGATAGATTAGTATTAGAAAACCTGTCTTGTAAAGGTGCAGCTTGTAATTGCTAATGATTTCTTGAATCCATGTCTCTGAAAATAATAAGCTCTGGCAGATTATTTTTTGCCAAAATAAGTGGATGTGTACTACAGCATTTGTCAACAAAGCTGTATTGACCAGTAATAGGGAAGAGGTTTATGTTTATGAAAAAATGATACCACTAATCAACAGAACTGTACTCAGAGGAATCCAGGACCTAGAATTCCCAAGTTCTGCATTAATGGCAGCAGTTTAAATTTTTACAAGTGATGGCTGTAACAGTACCTAATATTATGGGTGAACTTTAAAACTTCTGGACCAAGTATAAATTTATTGTTAATTTAGGACTGCTTTTCTTGATATTCTTAAGGTGATTTTTTTTTTATAACTTATATGAAAAGCTAAAGTCTGTATGATAGGACTAAAGTAATGGTAGGTTCATAATAGGCTGTTCAGATATTTCGGAAACTTTTGTGTTAATGTGTGGGTCACATCCTAATTGAGTTAAAGCAGTCATTCCTATGAAAACTGTAATTTTCATGTGTTAATGATAGGTGTGTTCAGTTCTTCCCAGTAAAATGGAGCTCAAGAGCAATCTTTCCAAAAATCAAGGGGTTATACAGCTTCTTGAAGTTGCATTTGAATCTTCTCATTGGGGATTCTGTTGAATGATCACCTACCTTAATGACCAGTAGTTATGCTGTTGGAGTACTTGGCTAGTTTATGCCCTTTAACAAAGTCTCCAGCTCCTGGAACTTGATAAGCCCTCAGCTGGCTACTTACGCTGTCCTTAAATCACAGCAGGTAAACAGGAGACCATAGAAGCGTTAGAAGAAGCAGTACCATAATCCTCTTAGAACTTTCATTCAGGTTGCTTCCTTGGTGATTACCTGTTGGATTCCCATAGATGATGTGCAGACCACAGGTGGTCTTTCTTAATGCTCTGCATTTATTGAATTATGAATTTACAGAGGAATATAGTCAAACTTTATAAAGCTCCTGAAATGCTTGACAAAGATTACTTTAAAACCTGATTAAAAAAAAAAATCAGTCTCCAGTGAAAATTCATAAAATGTACTTTAAATACAGTGTAGTTGCTGCCTTCTTCTCAAAACTTCTTTGTCTTCCGAGACAGAAAACTTCATTTCCTAACAGGTGATGCCACAGTCTGGTCCCCTGAATCACACTTGAGTCTAAACTAAATGTTAATACCTTCCAAATTCTTACCTCCAGTGTTTTTAAGCAGTACAACTCAAAACAAAATCATCAAGCTATTAACTATATTAATATCTTTTTAATTTGGAAATTGAGTCAATGTGAATCTTACTGTTTAGATAGTGGCTGTCAGGACAGTATCAGGACAGGATGGTTTTTTGTAAGCTGAAACAGAGAGAACAACCAGCATCTTTCCTCATTTCCTTTAAATAGTCCCACAGAACCTGTTAGTGTCTGAACCTCTCCAATTTATTTAACATCAGTTAAATTCAGAATTTTCTCATTAACAGACTATTCCAGATCCCTAAGGAAATCCTTTAATCCTTCAGTTCCAGCACTCAGCCTGTCTATATTGAACTCCCTAGCTTCTGCTCTCCTTTACACAGTCTTGCCAGTGCATATCGCTTGCATCTTGACTTCTGATACTCAGAACTCTTAGACTGGAGAAGTGGCTTTTCTTAGATTGCATAATTTCCTGGTAAAAAACAGAAAATGCTTTTTGCTGTTGAAACTCATGTTTGATCTCTTTTATCACCTACATTTGAATTATTTTGAGTATTAAAGCAAATGGAACTGTCAGATAGTTTGGGCCCGAAGTCTTCATAACAGTCACGTTGCATTTGTGCTTATTCATTGCTAAAAGGCAAGTGATATTCAAAACTTCCCTGGCAAAAAGAACCCTAGACAAAGAAATAAAAACAAACACCAGAACTTGTTACAGAGACAGCAATGTTCCAGTGGTGAAACAAGCAGACTATCTGTGTAAACTGTTCTCAAGAGCAAATGATTGCTCAGTACTGACAGTCCTAACCATCCTGTGAAGCTGCCTTTTCACTTTCGTCTTAGTTTCCTTCGCTGTCCTTCTTTGTGTACCTTCTCTTGTGATTGTTTCTTAGATCAATGCCTTTCTGGTCTGTTCAACAAGCCATTGGTAATTTCCCCCAAGAATACAAAGAAATACGTTACTTCCTGTAGTATGTCATTGTCCTGAAGGACAAAAAAGGGGCAAAGGGGTCTTCATCCTGTTGTAACCTGAGGGAGGCTGAATAGCTATGTATAATTTTGTCACTTGTAAGGCTCACAGTCATAGCTATTTCCAGCGGGTTGGACAGAAGATGCATAATATCAATACTCCATGGCAGGAAGAATATTCAGTAGGTACTTGGCAGTTACAGAGGCATATCTTGGGAAGCAAGCACTTATATCTCAACAGCTGGCTGACTGAAATTAGTTCACAGGACACTGCACACTTTCATCAAGTTCTTGACCTATTTGCCAAACTGAGATTCATAGCAAATGATGAAATATTATCTCTGAAGATGATATACACCTGAATACCACTGAAGATAATAAACAAATGGGAACCCTATTAAATTCACATTCAGCACTGGCCTATTTATCAAAAGCCAGGCTGAAGCCTTACCGTAGTTCTGCTGAATTTAAGGCTAAGATGATAGTGTTGTAGAAGATGCTGATGTTTTCTGATACCCAGATTTATTGCAGTGGATAAGAACTATCTTCTCTTCCAAGCATCAGATAAAAATCATGGCCACTGCTTTTTCCCGGGTTATATCAGAAGTCACTCTATAACTGAACCGTGGCATATGACTGACCTTTCTGTCTCTTGCTCATAGCTTGGAACTTGAGAACTTCTCTTGCCAATAAAGAGGAAAAGATAAACCCCATGATTCTGGAAAACAAATGAGTTTTCAGAGTGCTGTCGTCTATCAGTAGTGGTCCTATTGGCTATCCACTGGCTTTCTGATCCCACATCCACTTCATGGACATTGTGAGAGGGAACAAAATAAACATGAGTTAGAGAATTTAGCATGAAATGTACTTTACACTAAAAGAGACAGTAGCTAAAAATCTGTTTGTCCACAACAGAAAAAGTAAAATTAGGACCATCTGTTCTAGGAAAATCATGGCTCAGAACCTCTGGCAATGCCTTATTTGTCAGAAGTCCTGAGATTTGTTTTCTCTCATTCCCACAATTGCTTTGATTTCCAGGATAATACTCAGCACCAGGAAGTCAGGGCTACTTTAGTAATAGTGTGCTATTGCTAAGAAAAGGTTTATCTGGCAAACGCACTGCATACATCCAGATAGGCTGCCACATACCATTCCTGTTTTCCTGGACATTGTGCTCTGCCCCATGGCAGAAACACACAGAAAGCTCTAGTTGGCAAGTTGAGCCTGAGGAGAGGGAGCCTCTGTTAAAAAAAAAAAAAAAGTTTTTCCATATTGCTGCACAAAATACAATCTCAGAGATGTACCACTTTAAGGAATTTTGTCCCATGTCCTATGCTTAAAACAGGCAAGATGATTATTCAGCTCCTTCAATACCCAGCTGGCAACAGTGTCCATCTGACACTGCAGAGTCTCCTTCTCTGGAGATATTCAAAACCTGCCTGGACAAGGTCCTGTGCAGCTTGCTGTAGGTGACCCTGCTTCGGCAGGGGGGTTGGACTCCATGATCCCCAGAGGTCCCTTCCAACCCTTAACGTTCTGTGATTCTGTGACATGTTTCAGACCCAATTCACCTCAATGATGCCATGTTTCTGTGTAACTTTCAAGACCATCTTTCCCTGTCATTATGGTATAGCCAAAGAAATAAAGATGTGAACCAGCATACTTTGGACAAGCCAATGGATATTGTGATGAAATGGGAAAGTTGCAGTGACATTATAATTCCTAGTGGCCAGTCAATTATTCTTTAACAATAAGCTTCCCCCAGAGCACATGCTGAACATTCAGCACTGCCTAGAACAGAATTTAACCTTTCATGATACCCTCATTTTTTATTTTTTAAATGTTTTAAGTGGTGTTAGTAGATGTGTCCAAAGCTCAGTAGGCTCATCCCAGAGATTTTTCCAAATGGGTCACTCAGTGTAGTTCCATGCACTGGTCATTGACTCATGGGCCTCTTCCCCTTCAGGCATCACAGCACACATACCTATAACGTTAGTGAATCACTGACTCCTTCAAAAACACAGAAATTAAGAAATTTGTAAAGAACCCATTTTGCCTTTATGAAACACCATACAGCTGACTAGCAGGTAGAAGCAATGCTCAGTTCTAAAGCACAGTATTGCAAGACTTAGTGACTCACAAAACCTGATCCCTCCACTCAGTGCCTGTGAAGGTGCCTCTGTCAATCATCTAAAAGTGATACTGAGAGTCTCAGAGAAATATATACACACATATATGTATGTTTATTGTGATACCTGAAGAATACTGTAGTCTTCACTTACCTGAGATTTTTTTCACTTGAGCAGGAACCGTCAGAATTATCTTCAGACTTTGCTGCATGCCTGCAAATGAACACACAGAGGTAGATGATGCGCTAGCTAGGAGGCAACTGTTTAGTAAAATAGCTGTAATCCCATTATGAATGGTTGCATTGGTACCTTCAGGGACATCAGCATTGACTGCAGTTTGTAAAAAGCTGGAGTAAGAAGGGATAATTGTCCGTTTTTTGCAACTACCATGTCTTTCTCTGTTTACATGTCCTAGTTGAAACAAATATATTTAAACTGACATTTTCCAATATTATTTCTTTCCAGCTATTGATCTCATAAATAATTTGTTGCAAGTGAAAATGAGAAAGCGCTACAGTGTGGACAAAACATTAAGCCACCCGTGGTTACAGGTATTGCTATGGATTCCATGTTTTTTCCTATGCATTTAGGCTCTAAGTACATAACAAATTTTCATCTTTAAGCACAGTAGAATCTAAGCAAATCTGCAAACCTGAAGATGTTTTCAGATCCTGAGACACTCATATTCCTTCACCAATTTACCTATAGATTCTCATTAATTTCTGAAGTATTAGATTCCAATACTAAACTGTCTCCTGTTTTCAAAATACATTACAAACATATTTTATCTTGCTTGTCTGCTGAGAATATAATGTATATAAAAAATTTTGACTTACATTATCTCATTGCCTGGAGTCTACCCTGATTCACTACTTCTTAAAATTAGTCAATGGGCTTTCACTTCACAGATATCAGAACTAGTGAAGTTGTATGCTTTCCAGGAAAATACATTAGCTACATGCAGTTGAAGTCTTCAACTAAAAACTGAAATGTTAGAAACTTCTGAGAAGCAAGCAGCCACTGTCTTCTGCTCCTCATATGGTAATTTCTTTCTCCTGGCAGCAGCCATATCACTGCAAGTTAAAGACCTAAACCAGAACCAGTGTAGTGAGCATCCCGGGCCAGTCCCACCGCCCCCAGGTGGGGAGTAGCGCAGGCTGGGGGCAGCCCCAGGCCAGGGTATTGGGCCCCTCTCTGGGCACAGGGACAGGCTGAGGCCAGGCTGGGACATCAGCCCGCAGCATCTCCCAAGGCATCCACATTTGCATCTAGGAAAGTAATCACGGCACAGGCATGGCACAGATCAGATGTGTAATCCACAATCCCAAAGGAATCTTTATCCAAACTGAAACCTGGCTACTACTCCAGTACTTTAGACTTGCAACTGTCTCTCAAAGTAGAGGGTGACCTACTGGCGTAGAAGGAAAAGGGCTGCAACCTCTCACCCCACACCCCACGTTCCTCAGGGACATTTCCCCTGGGCTTGCTTTCTTCCTCCCAGATTTCCTGCCACTCTCCTCCAGGACTGCTCTTCCCCCTGGCAACGATTGCAGAATACATTTGTCTGAGCCTTTGGGGACCAGAGAGGTGATCTGGGCTAAGGTCTGCAGCAAAGATGCTGGCTGTCTCACATGGTGGGACAGAGTCCTTCACCTCTCTATATCCACTTTTATCGCTGGTGCAATAGTGAGTGGAGATGAGCCAAGGTGAGTCAGCAGAGCAGCAGCTCTAGCACTGAAGACAAAATGAGTCCTGTTTCCAGAAGAGCCCAATCTTGTGGGCTAAGGAAAGATTAACAGTGGTGCAGGGCGGTGAGACTTAGAGATGATTTCTGGGAGGACGTCTGTGTGAGAAGTGGGCCAGAGGATGTGAGATACTAAGGAAGAAGGCTTTTACGCACTTACAGCATGTGAGCTTTCTGGTGCTTTGGCTAGGTGACTGGGGTTGTGTCTTAAGTTGAGACAAGTTCAAGGAGAAAAAACTGGGTACAGGATCACGAGCAAAGGTTAGTCTGCATGGGGCTAGGATTGGCTTTATAACTGCAGTGTCATGTATGCTTTGGGTAGGTATACGAAAACAAGGTCAGAGGCTGCAGAGTGTGATGGTCTAAACAGCATGAGAACCAAACCAGTTTCCAGCCTTACTGTTGACTGTCAGCATGAAGTTCCAAAGTACCTTCATGTTTAGGTGTATACGACTCTTTGAGCACACAAGTAATTGTCCAAGTTTGGAAAAGTAGATTTTTTCTAGCCAAAGCTGAATTCATATCCTGCACCATTATACTGAGATGCAGCACCTGTCTTGACTATCTGATACAGACCACTAGGATGTACATGTATGATTTAAAGATGTTTCTTCTTCCTTATTCACCTTGTGACTAGTGTGAGGAATTGTTTTACCACCCATGCCTCATTTAGATGTTATGGAAATCCGTAGACTATCCACACATCATGCAAAACAACCTGTAACATCTACATACTATACTTGTGACAGAGTTTAATAAATTGATGAATTAAACAATCCTCTAGAGATGAAACCTATCTCTATAGGCAGATTTCATATCTATAAATTATAAGATTTTTCCATTCGGAGCAGTAGGGATACATGACCTGTAGATTGTCGAGTTAATAGCGCTTTGCGTATTATTGATTGTAGAAGGGAATGTCATTTATTTTAGGAATTTAAAACTGATACTGTTATTCTATTTCAGGACTATCAAACCTGGTTAGATTTAAGGGAACTTGAATGTAAAATGGGGGAGCGTTACATCACCCATGAAAGTGACGACTCCCGATGGGAACAGTATTCAGGAGAACATGGATTGCAGTACCCAGCACACCTTATCAGTCCAAGTGCTAACCATAATGAAAACACCAAGCTGGAAGAAACAGAAATGAAAGCCCTCAGTGAGCGTGTCAGCATCCTTTAAGTTGCATCCCCTATAATCTGTCAAAACACTGTGGAATTAATAAATACATACGGTCAGGTTTAACGTTTGCCTTGCAGAACTGCCATTATTTTCTGTCAGATGGGAACAAAGCTGTTATGCTGTTACACTGTTGATATATCTGAGTTGCCAAGACAAATCAACAGAAACATTTTTGTGTGACCAACTGTGTTGTATTTACAAAAGTTCCCAGAAACACTAAACTTGTTATTGTGAATGATTCATGTTGTATTTAATGTATTAAAACCTGTCTCCACGGTGCCTTTGCAAACTAGTGTTTTTCTTACTTGAGCCTCATTTTGGTAAGAGAGAACTTTCCCATGAAGATCTGGGGGGTTTTTTGTGCATCGTTAGTATTGTAATTGTAAGCAAACTCTTGAAGAGTAGATTATAACTGCTGTTCTGTGAACAACTTCTACCATTTGGAGAAAAGCTTTATTTAGTGTTGAAAAAATAGAAAAAGCAAAAAATAACAAATTGCATAGCACTGTACAGGTTCAGATCAGTTAACCTGTGTGTAGGTGTGTTTTTGTATATAGATACACACACACTATATCTTGCCCTTAAGCCTAAATGCCTTAGTAATGTAAACTGCAGCATATGTCGGTTGTATTTCCCCTTTTCTTAAAATATTCTTCTCTAATATTAGTATACTCTAATATGTACATTCAGAAGCTAAATAACTTGTTGACTTTGTGTATGTTTTCAATAAAAGTCTTGTTAAAATAGGTTCACTTGATTAATCTTTCTGTTTAAAATATCCCTGGAGTGGCATCAGAAGTAGGTGGAAGAAGCCCATGTAGGGGTAGGTAGGAAAATGCTGCCAGCTAACCTGCGTACCTATAAAACACACTTTATAAGAAACTACTTGCATGCTTTTGCATCGTAAGTTCAGTCAGTTTTGAAACATAATGGGGGAGTGGGGAAGTTCAGTACACCGATTTTGCACTAGTGAAATTAATGGGAATTTATTTATTGGAGAAACATGCTGCTTCTGCTTTTTCCACTGAGTTCCATTGAACTGACAAGGTAATATGGATCCCTCCCACCCTCCTTCCCCTGAAAACTTTGAAGATACTAATTTTCATTTCTAACAATTACTTAGTGTTCCAACACTAACCCATTTAGCTTTAACTGTGAGAGGGGTTCAGGCTGCACTGTAAAACATGTGCCAGAGTAACTCAGTGACAAGCTGAAAATTGTTCTGTGCCACAGGTCATCTCTGAGAAGAGCAGCTGATATACAGGTATTGAAGAGTGAGGTCGAAAAAGAAGAGAGACATGGGATGAGAGGCAGAAGTGTGCAATGATTGGAGTCACATGCAATAAACCTCTACTGATCAAATCTTGGCTTTATGATACGATCATGAGCTTTTCATTAGATAAATCCATTCTTTCCTTAGAGAAGAGCTTTGTCCAGAGGAAGTTTGTGCCAGATACATAACATGACCAAAGCCAGCAGAATTTTATTGATATTGCACCTTTACTGGACAGATAATGTGTACTGTAGAAGAAAGGAAGAAAAGGCACCTTTATTCAAACAGGAAAAATTACAGAAAATTAAAAAAAATTGTGAAAAATTACTTACTAATCTCCTCTTCCTCCTACCCGCCTCTTTTCCCCTACTCCTACTGCCAGAAAAGAAAGATACCCATTCAAGCTCAGAAATCCTTTTCCACTTCAGGTGGACCCTGAAGGAAGCTCTCCGGTAACACTAGCCTCATAACATGTTCTGAAGCAACTCCGGCTGGGCAGAGTCCGAATGTGTTGACTCTTCTGCCATGCTGTAATGTCTGTATTTTCAGTCAGGACAAGGCTAAATTTGGACAATCACTGGCCATTCTTTCTTTTTCATTCAGCTTCATTTTTAAATCAGCTGTAAAATAAACACAAAAACAGACTCAGGCTCATTATTAAACTTCTGTCAGTAAAAGTATATACGTATATTTAAAAGAAAGTCCACTTAAAGGTGCAGTGGTGGACTCACAGCTCTTTAACAACCCCAGAAGCCAAGCCAAATTAACTTTTCCAAAAGGAAACTGAGGAAAATTATCAGAATCATAAACAATTCAGTCAGATGTTGATATCATGACTGTTCATAAGGAGCCATGACCACAGAAGTGCCTTAATTTTGTTGTTTCATTCCTCTACGTTAACCAGTAACAGAGATTCAGAGTTCTGCTTTCATATTTATCAGTTTAGGTGAGTCAGGTTTTTATTAGTGGCTTGTTTTTCTTTACAGTGGTGTACCAACCCTTGAGCAAAGGACTTAAATTCTCAAAAATATCAGATGGCATAATGGCATTCTGTTCTCAAGCATGGACACTAGTCAGGAGATTAAAACTACTTTGCAGCTTGCAACAGCATCTCTAAGAAGCTGGGTGACAAAACTAAAACCAGCGCAACTTTAAATGAAGGAAGGACATCAAGTACGCACACTAAACCCTATCATCTGCTGGCTTCTGCCGTAACAATGCTTATCATGCACAAGGGTTTGCCAAGCACAGACCTATGTTGATAAACATATTTAAGCACATGGAGAACTTTTGATAAACTCTTTGCCAACAGAGCAAGGACAAAATTATGAATAAATTACTACTGTGAGACACTTTCTCACTAGCTACCAAACATGATTTCAAAGGAACTCTTGTTATATTACTAGGGGCATATTACTCTTTTTTTCCTCCCCATGCCTGTGGGTTTTTTGAGCGCTGAAGCTTGCTTCGTGGCTTTAAGGAACTTGTGCAAATATTCATTGCTTTTCAAAAAAGAATCTGCCATTGGCCAATGCAATAAATTAAAATTTTCCCTGCTGCCATTCAAAAATGTTGCACTGTGAAATTTGAACTGTTTGCAGTTCAGCCAGACATGAATTCACTGATTCCTAACTCAAAGCCTAAATGGAAACTTGCTCTTCCAGATGCATCAGCATCGAAGTGTACTGAAGCAAATCTGGGACTGTGTCGTCCTGCATGATTTTCCTTGGCTTGTTTTACTCAGGGAAGAGGAATGGTAGGCTGCTCTGTAGTAATGTTTCCATGGCCTTTACATTTTCCATTAGGCTAACAGTTCCTGCGTGTGCATCATGGAAGCAAAATCAACAGTGGTTATGCTGCACATAAATATTGACCTGAGGCTCTATTGATGGTATTTCCTTTTCTGCTCTAATACTGCATATCACATGCATATCAAGCACATGTATACACATAATCATACATCTGTAGATACGTTTATTGTGTCAAAGTTTAGCTGTGGAGGGCAGAGGAGTAACCAACACATACTTGGAAGTTAGAACTTCTGATTTATGTTGTTGCCTTTTTCACTTCTACGATCTTCTTTATTCAGTCATGTACACTTTCTTTATCCACTGTCTTGTCCCAGCAGTTTAACTAATTCAGCCAATAAGGTGAGCAAAAAGCACGCACTTATACAACTTGTACAGCTCAACTGTCACAGAGCTGCTTATCCACGTGTGACCATCCATCCATGCCTTTACCATGTAGGATGGAAGGGAATTCCTGTCAGAGGGCTTTGTCTCCCATTGTGTCAGATACTACATCAGACCTCCTCAGCTTAGCCGGATCTCTTCAAAACTAGTTGGATATTCTGCCTTCCCCTTTTCTTCCTCCTCCTTCCCCTCTATGCCTCATTACTGCAAAGCTTTCCTAGAATCTGACCTCTCCAGAAAAGTAAAGTTGTAAATCCTGACCTCATGGCGAGGCAATAACCATCTGGGTTGTGTGTCAACAACAGTCTTTTTTTGTTTGAGAGATTAAACAAACCAGGTTATTTATTTTACATTAATTGGCTAAATCAATACCTCTTCTGTATACCTGAATTTATCCTGGACAGTGAAGTCACAGAGGAAATGGAAAATGCTAATAAGCTGAAAAAAAACCCAAACTCTTACTGGACTAGTGGGAACAGATACTTGGAATCCCGTGAAACAAGGGAGAAAGGAAAAAAAGATAACTCCCAGGGGAATTTTAAGAATTAATCATTCGGCAGGTTAACCCCCATATACTACTTCAGTCCATAAGACACAGGGAGAAAGATCAGAGATGAGTAATTAGGGATTATGGTGCAGTATTATTCAGTTAGGTATACCAAAATATTTACATCCTGGAAAAGCTCTGCCTCATGCAGATAAACCAGAGCCCTGTCCCTGTAGCTCCTGTAGCTGCTGAGCACCCCAAACTTTGTTCAACTTATCGGTTTCACAGAGATACTAATTCTTTTTTGTTTGTTTGTTTGTTTTTTTCCCAGAAACATAGGCTATAATTTATTCTAGCAGCAAAGGAAGCCAGCCACGTACGGCACAGGCCACTTTCTACCTCACGACCAGACTTAACGGCATCTGAACCAAGTCTCATATTCCTGGCATTTGCTGTGCATGTGCCAGATGGGAAGGAGCTCAACTAAATCAAATGTAAACCAGAAGAACTGTCTTGGTAGATCAAGTACTTTTCAGTGGTGACAAATTTGACCTGAATGGGATGCAGAGTTTCACCTTGTTTTTGCTTAGCTTGTTCCTAGCAACTGGAGCAAGTGTATGCTGAAATCAGGGTCTGCTGGGTGAGCTGGTATTTGTCTGTGCTTCTTACTGAAACTTTGCTTTGCTTAGGAGACGAACAGGGAGCACACATTGTAAGAAAGGTAAACTGTTTTGCTGCCTTACTAAGCACATCTACAAACATCAGTGGTTCAATTCAAATACGAATTCAAAAAAAGTCTACTTACGTTTTGGACTGAAAAATTGCTGTTTTGAAAGGTCCCATGAAATGAAATGTTTTCTTTGGGCATCCAAGCACTAAGGTCTTACACCCTAGAGTGTCTAGCTCCACTGTGAGCCTGGAGGGCCTGAGGCCTCACGGTGCAGAGGTCTGCCAGGCAGGGTGCCGACCAGGGCAGCTAAAAGGAAAGCAGGCACAATGAAGCGTGCCTTTAAGGCAAATGCCGAAATCTGCAAGCACGTGTGTGCTGCCAAAGTTTGACAAAAATTGGCAGGTTCTGTTGAAGTATTTCTATCCAGACAAACTAGTTTCCAGTCTGAATTTATGATACATTTGCCAGCTATAACTTAAACTGCTTCTGCTAGAACTTCCAAAATGAATAGTTACTTATTAATGATGACCTCTTAACATTTTTAATGGGGACTGGTTTTTCAGAAAGTCCTAGTAATTACCCTTTGAAAAGCAAGTAGTTCATTTTGGTTCCACTGTTGACTTAGGCATACAAAAGCATGAGTTAATTTTGAGCAGTAAGGTCACTAAATTTAATAAGTGGAAAGTGCACTGACATATTCAGAAGAAAAAAATAAAAATTTACTTGTGGGACCTGGCTCACATTTACCAAGTAAACAGCTGCAGCAGTTTAAGATGTTACTGTGTCAGCCCCCAGCTTTTCGTTACTGGCCTTA